GTTGAGAATTCATTGATTTTAGGTTAGTATTCATCATGGACCAACATCACTTGGAGAAACATTTGAAACTTGGGAGTACTGCATAGCTGTTTCGTCCTAGGGATCCCCAATAGGATTTCGGGTACGCACTGCTGAAGAGTCGCACACTAAGAGGAAGACTGACTTGTTAGCGATATTTTTTGTTGCAATGGTAATAGTAAGACTAGTAATGATAAGATATTCATTTGGATAAAATGGCTTGGTTGAAAGATGGATTTACCAAACTTCACTGGTTTCTATTTGCCGTATGCGATGCTGAATATTTTGCCTTTTTCTCTTGTGCATTGTACTTTACCGTATCTGCATATGTGTATGTATGTACGTTTGTGTGTGTGTGTGTGTGTGACTGTGCATCCAGTTGATGCAAGATTATTTCAAGTCATAACTTTCGTGTATCTCGAATAAGAGAAACAAAGGCTAGTACATAAAGCGCACACAAAAGGTTATGTATACATGGTGCCTGCTTGCTTGTGTATGAATTCAACATACGTATATGACATTTCTGTCTGTTCACTCTTGATCTATCGTTTTTTTCTTTGTTTTGATTTTCTTCGTAATTTGATTAATATTCTTCACTTTCATCACCATCAACCTTTGCATACTACTTAATTGTGTCCATTTTCTAGTGTGGTAAAGCATGTGCTGCTTTCTCATCGAAACACTTTTAGTATTACTATTATTACTAATCTCGAATGTCCCTTCCTCTCATGTACCTTGTTGTATTGTCGTGAACTAGATTACATTTCGATTGATACCAGAGATACGCCTGTTTGTGTATATGTGTGAGTGTTGAGCTGTGGGTTAGTGGTTTACGGAGATGACTATCAACCAAGTGGGTCATGAGTCCGAATATCGGGCTTTACCTACCGAGCTTAGGGCAACCAAGTAATACCACTTGCCGTCATACAATAGGTGGGGCTCATTGCCCACTGCACAAATATGTGCACTAGGTAGCTGAGTGCATTCCGTTTTCCCGTGTATATGTGTATCTACAGAAGGCGGAAGAGAGTAAACTAATTAACGAGTTATTTCAAATATTTCTCTTCAGTCTTTCACAATTAATCATTGTTTTTCTCTTAATTCAATAATTAATTACTTTTTTTCGTCAAATCTTTCCATCTTTGGCACAGACCTTATATCCAAGTGCCTACTAAGAACTAGGCTTACTTCGGTGATGTTCGCTCCGTTTTATCGTGTGGCTATGAAACACGATTATTAAGATTCCAGAGTAAGAAGAAGCTCTACCACTGTTACCTTAGTAGCACAGGCTGTATGTTGTGGAGTCACCACATCAGTAATACAGAAGTGAGGGATAGGTTTGTAGAATTGTATACCCTCATTGACTCAGATGCCTCGAACATGTGGTACGCATGCATACCCACCGTCTGCTTTGTCACATTACCTTAGTTTTATTACTTTCTTCCTTATTTCTCTATCTTTTATTTTGGTACCTTGCATCTTAAAATGCTGATGTGTGAGGCTTGGCAACTTGAGCCATTGTTACTCAGTAATGCCAGACCTCAGGTTAATATTACTCGGTCAACAGTCATGCTTGGTAGCCGGAAACCCGATGGTCGCTGGTTCGAATCCCATCGCAGTTCAAACTTTCATGTCACCTTCAATTATCACCCATCATCTTGTTATTGTTATTATTATGCGCATGAAAGTATTAAAAGTTCCATTTTTGTGATATAGTATGCTCAGTTTCATGATGATTAGTTCTAGTGGGGACTACAAAGTGGTAGCTCAACAATCCATTACATGTTTATGTAGTAGGCTATGCGTTATGGTATATTTGATAAGCTTGTCGGTTTTGTCATACATTTAGTTCCCTTAACAAATCTGAACAATGCAAGAACAAAGATATTTGCGGAATAAAATGAGACCACCTTTATTTCATAGCCTTTCATCAGCTGCAAACAGCTTAAAAATGAAATGAATTATTAGTAGTAGTAATGATAACATAACACACTTTAAGCACGTAGAAATAGATGGAGATTTGAAACCGAGAATTAATAATAAGGTAGTGAGTGAGTCAAGGAAACACAGGATTAATAGTTACAAATCTTAGTCAAAATCAATGACAATCCATTATCTGATGAGATAGAAAATTTTTCAGTTGTCGAATGAGAGGAGGGACAAGAAATGAAAATCAATGTATAAGAAGGGACTGTTTAAGAGCTAATAGGTTAGGTAACTGCATGAAAAACTGGAAAATCGTTAAGTGATTAACAGTCAGTAAGTAATTAATGAAAAAATGATGCCATCAAAAGTAAAGGGAAGACTATATATATACATATGCAAAGAATTATATACATTTACCAAGGTAAAGAAAGGTTAATTACAGTCTCCTTCTTAGTATATAGGTCAGTTTGATACCAAAAGCTTCTTCAAACCGTAATAAACATGGTGTTCTTTGCTTGTTATCTAACCTAAAGGATTAAGAAACATCTATTTGATATCCTGTTTCCATCAGATACCTGATGATTGCGCTGTTAAAGGCCTTGTTACCATTCAGACACAGAATATGCTCATAAAATCGAGTAAACGCCCTTCTTTCAATCCGTTTTGTGTACCTTGCTTCCACAAGCACAGATGAATTGATATACTCAGTTGTCTAATTTCTTGCACTGTTCAAATTTCTCGGTTTTGCTGACGTCGAAATAGATGAAAGTAGTTTTCAACACGTGAACTACTCCCCCTAAAAATCAAATGTGTAGGCCAGTCAACTATATCCCTTTAGTTTTTGGATATATGCCAACTGTTTTTTGTGGACTACTCAATAATAGCCTAATCATCTTAGCCTTCTTTGTTAACAATCAGATTCATTAAACTATAAAATTTTGTTGAACTATTTTCAATTCAGTGATACACTTCTGTTTTGTTTCGAAGGTGAATCCTGAGCAAGTGGAGAACATTTTCAGCTAAATAATCATTGGTTAAAAATTGAGTATTTAAATCAGTGACAGGTGAAGCCTCACTGATATATTTTAAACTGATATCTTAGATTTGTCATGTTGGTATTCAGCATGGACTGACATCAGTTGGAGGAACATTGGGAACCTGGGGAGCACTGAGCAGCTGTTTCATCGCGTATGAGACTCCTCAGCAGTGCGTACCCATGACCCCGCCACCTTCAGGTTCCGTAGCCAGCAGCTTACCATTGGGTCAGAATCCAATGGTCCATATTTCCAACTTCTATCAGTTCACGACATAGTGCGACCGCTACCCAATGTCATCGTTGAAGAAAACTATCCTCACGGCCACCATGTTTGAATACTTTTCCTCAACGTTGTTTATTCACTTTTCTTGTGAACTAGTAATGTCTAACAATTCAGTGATGAAAGTTCTAGTGTTGTTTGATCTTTTATGTATTTTTCTTTTCATACTTGAATCTTCAGAAGAATACCAACTTTCTCTTTGGCAAGATTTCTGTCAACTAAAGTTACCTCAAAGTATACCATATTCTTATCACCACCTACTTTCGATTTTTTCTTATTGTAATTTGTTTGGTTGTGGCTAACAGAAGAACCTAGGATGCGCGTTTCGTCCTACTTGGGACTCGTCAGCTGGACGTACATGCACCTCAGTCTGGAGTGTTGTTCCCACTGAGACTTGAACCTCGTAACTATCGCTACAAACGCCAAGGTGTTATCCATTATGTATTCAAAAGTTCAGTTGTTAAGCTGACTAGCTATTCACTTTAATTGATGACATGTGCGTTTCAAGTCTTTGGTCTTCTCGCAATCACAATGAAATATCTACCTACCTGATGTATTTTGAGTCGACTGTAGAACCTAACTACGAATTTTTGTTTCTTTTCATCCACTGTTGTTCTGTTTTTATCGTTTAGCCAATTTTTTCACAATTTCTTAGTTTTCTTTGAGTTGGGTTGTTCAATAGTTAAGTTGACTTTTGTTTGACCTAGCAGTTGGTTGTGTAACTCTTCTATCTGTCCTCGTTTTATCCAATAACACTATTACAAATGTTGTCGCCATCGTTAGTGATTTCTGTTGAATAGATGTTGACTTCCTTTGATTTTCATCACTGGTACAATTGCTCTTGTTTTTACTTAACAATATGCTATAAGGTTTCCAGCATAAACTGTTGTTAAGATTCCTAGTATTGTAGTTCAATCCTCTATGAGATAAGCTTACCTCATTATAGATGGTAGTTGATAGGAATCTGTCTAAATTGAAACCATTATATTTAATGTCATTAGGCGCTAGGATAAAGGTTTAGAATTTCAATTATTTCATGCTACTGTGTAGTCAAGAAAAACCTTATTGGACAACGTCGTCCTACAGCTGTCCAACTGAAATAAATATCCAACTTTTGACCTTGTTTTTTCTGAAAACGAAAACATGTTACTGTCGAAAGATTTTGAAATGATCGAAAAAATTTATTGTTTAACTTTGTTGTAAATAATATAGCCAAAACGATTAGGTGTGACATGGGATATAGAATTGTAGTGAATTGACGAATCATACCACTGAAATCGGTAAGAAGTTAACTGTTCTAAACGACCATATGAACATTTTTGACCTGCATCTATTGTGTATCAAGGTAAGTGATATTACCTGAGTGCTTGATAAGTGAAGCGTATTATTCGAACTCATGACTTATGGATTGAAAGTTAACCACCTAAACCTATACTAATGAACAGTATGAATAGTTAGAGACAAGTCACATTGACCAGAACTACACCAATAATAAACTCGACTCTAAAAAGTGCAGAACACCCATTCGGTGATTGTATCACTTTGATTTGATTGGTTGAGAAGTTTCTAACTACTCATATTGCTCTTCAGTAGTATATTTCGTTTGATCTTCAAATTCACCCACTAGTGATAAAAATTCAGCAATTTATATTTAATTTTAATTAACAAGGATTGATACAATTTATATTAGTGTTTTATTGAGTAAATTATCGTTTTTATCCTTGTTACATCATATTATAGATACTTTATTGGTACAAGTTTGTCAACATTCACATTTCGTATTGTTGAAGAGAGATCAATTATAGGCTTTTTAGCAAATACCACATTTAATAACTTATGTCCAAATGGAGTAATACACTTGTATAGAGCAACAAATCACTTGACTGTACAAACATCAAGGTCATTGAATTGTGAAACATTAACTGATTGGCCAGTTATTTATGAAAAGAAATACACTGTAACATCGATATTATCATCAGCTGAGGATGAAATGTATTTACATCACACAATGAAAGATGAATTATGATTGTATTGTTAACAAAAGAATTGAGATCTTTCTATCCATTTGCCTATGTTTTGATCACCTCTACCATTTTTTTTGATGTCTTCCAGTTAGATTATTTTCATGCTTTTATGTTTGTTTTTCTTTGTTTGCTTTTTGAAGAAAAAATGTTTGCAAATTCTTATTAGAGAAATAAATATAGAAAGAAGAAATATGTATTCTGGTGGTTGGTTTTGTTTTTTCTTACCTCTGAAAAGGTGGATTTCAGATTAAGTCACATCCAACTGACGAGTCTGAAATTGGACGAAACACATGTTGTAGACTACATCATTGAGTATCATTAACTAGCTATACCACGGCGTCTGTTCAGATATCTCTTATCCATTTAGAAACTCATTAATTTCTCCTAATAAATGAGAGAGAAAAACTTACCCCCTTGCCACTCTTCGTGTTCTAGTTGGTAGCGATTATGCATTGTTCACAGTTTTAATTTGTTATTTTAGTTCGCACATCGGTTCGTTGTTGACTACTAGAATGTGTAGATTACGTTTAGCGTGGTAATTGTTTCACTTGTATGGAATATAGAATATTGTGGAATTTTCACATATTATGATGTGTAACATCAACTGTCATCGATAAAAATGTTATCCTAGATATAATTTGAGAACTTGAGAATAATACTGAAAATAGACTGATGTGACAAGATTTGATCAAACTGTACTCATCGACTTCGTTTACATTTGTGCGGTAATCAGTGAGCCTTGACTGATTGTGTCAGGGTTTCCTAGGCCTCGATAAGTGAAGCGGTCTTCGAACCCGCATCCCAAGGATTGAAAGTCACTTCCCTGTACCAATGAACCAAAAAGTAAGATGGACTTGTTTCAAGGAGTACATGAATAAATGACTCCTGCCTACCTGTGGTATTCTCAGTTAAAACGGATATCCTTAATCGCGACTTCCACAGAGCGGTCAGCCGAGGAGTGTCTACCGCCAACACGCTTCCAGTAGTACACAAGACCCAGTCAAATATAATTTATCATCCTGATACTAATATTAGGCCTCTTACATATCCCCTAATTCTTAGTTTCCTAAGACCCGGCCGTCAAATCCATATAGGAGCTTCTAATACCCGAACTCTATGCCAAATCGGACAATAAATATGCCACAGCAGAATTCTGGAATCTCGGGTTATGGATGTATGCTGTGTCTGTGAGACACACAGAACCCGAGTGTGGCCATGAAGTTTAAGTCACCTGACCATAGTAGTGAGTCTTCAAATTCACCTCTAGTATCCGGAGACCCAATAGCTAGCACTCGTGCTCTCCCTGGTGTAGGTGTAAGATCGAGTTGTAGAGCAGAAAGTGCGCTTGTCGACTGGATACTAGTCAAGAGCCGTCTATGAGCTATCGACTGAATGGATCTGTAAGGACTAGGAAGCACCGTGAGACCAGTCGATGCCTAGTCGTGATCTTCGCCTACGCACCCACCGACTGCAGTTCGGATGATGCAGAGGATGAATTCTATGAGAAGCTGTCAACTTTGCTACAGAAAGCAAATCGTTCGAATGTACTCATAATAGCAGGTGACTTTAACGCTCAAGCAGGGAATCGGAAAGGCATTTTGTGGATATTTACGGAATCCCATGCCAAAGAACTGACAACGGTGATCGTCTATTGCATTTTGCTTCCACAACCACTTGTTCCTGAACAACGTGTGAAGAGACACTGTCTTACGTGGCGTTAGCCGACTTCAAATCAATGATGGACAGAGATACATCACATTGCTGTAAGCCAGCGATCGTTAGAGAAAAGCAAGGGAGGATTGCTGCTCTTTCTCAAGTACCTGTTTGGACTCTGATCATGCGCTAGTACGGGCACGTGTTATTTTGCACCTTACTGGTCATGGGAAACAGACAACAGTAGAACCTATGTTTACTTCATTGGAAGATGAGAAAATCAAGTATACATTTGGGGAGGAGTTAGCTAAGCATTTATCTCAACGTAACAACAATGCACATGCTTTTGGAAACGTGGCAGGATAGTATGTTACAGAATCGGCGGGAAAGACAGTTGGTAACCTACATCCAAAGGTTAGCGAACGTCACTGGATAATTGCATCAACACTGGCTGATAGAAGGTTGATTCCAGCTGGCCCTGGCCACGACGAAGGGTGTAAGTAACTTAAACGTAAGTTGGCCAAGAGTCAGTGGTGGTTGGCGAAAGCGAGAGAGACGGAGAAAACTCCAGTGGTGGGTAAGATTCAGCAACTACTTTGGCTTAATACGGATACCGAGAACAAGTAGGAGATGCTTACAGAAACCATCACCGAAAAGGATGAGACGCTGTTAACCTCTCAGGACAGGTAGCTAGAAGGTTGAGCAGAACACTCTGAATCACAGTTCAACTGGCCAACAGTAACGCTTCAGTTTCCCAACATCAGCCTGAACCCGATTGCCACGTAGATGTCGGTCCTCCAACTGACACCCGAAGTTGAGAAAGCTACATCTAACCTGGATCGATGCAAAGCAGCAGGACTCGATAAATGAAAACCAGAGGTCTTCAAGGATGGAGGTATGAAATTACTGACTTAAGTAATGGAGGTATTAGGTAGTGTAGGGAAATCACAGGTAGACGTGCCAGACTGGTCTACTTCACTGATCATCCCAGACTACAAAAAGGGAGAGAAGTCTTGTGACAATAACAGTGAAAATTAGTCTCACCAATATTGTGTCCGAAATCCTAAGGTTTATAGTTATCCGACGCCTAACTGGAACACGATAATACCAAACTCGAGAAAAGCAGGCAACTTTCAGACTTCGACGAGGATGCCTCGACCAACCTTAACGTGGCATGCTGAGGGAAGCTGGATAAGGTTGGAAGGGGTTTCATTGTAGTCAGATAAAAGTTCTGGCAGCAGTCGACAAATTCCCTAACTGTTGGCCTGAGTCATGTGAGGAGATGCAGACCGCCTGATTGGAGTCCTTGAGACGATAAGAATCGGTGTCTCAGGTCTCTTTATGACGGCTGGAAAACCAGTCACAATAGTGGCGCAGATTTACTCACTCCCTGACATCTTCTAAAGAGCAAAATTCGTACCATATTCAAATTTTTTATTACACACTACTTTATTCACTTTGAAGTCAGTCATTTCTATCCACTTGTCTTGGTATATTACTGTGAACAAGGCCATTGATTGATTCATTGATTCAATCTGTTTATTTGTCTGTCTACCATAATCCCAAATTTTAATTGATAACAGTGGGAAAGAAGCCTTTATTTCTGAGAATACAATTTACAGGAGACATTCCTAAAGCTGCCCCATTATAATGAATAGTTAGAGCAGTAAATATAACGTTTTGAATCCAGTCATCTTGCTTATCTTTTAGTAGTCTGCTAGTCCTCAGCCTAACAATAAAGGATATGCTAACTAATACTAGCTTCTCATTGTGTATATATCAATTTAACTGTTCTATAGAAGAATTAAATAGGGTTTATGACTGGGTATTTGCGCCTCCAAACACGAGAACATTTACTAGCTTCGTTCAAGAACGGTTAAGTACATACAAGTAGTAAGGAGTTATTTTTTAGCATACCTAGTAAACAAAAACGTCAAATAGATACTGATAAAGCTTTGAATGTTATATATTGTACACCTAAAACAATACCGTATATAGCTGACGTTATAGCAACAAGATTGATCAAACCTGAACTTGCATTCAGAAGAAATATATTCAGTCTTATTCTACCTTGACATCTAATAAACTGAAAACTACTTACGTTTTCTTTATCTTCTGTCTTTCCGTTTTGTATTGATACTCTTCATCTTAATAACGACAAATGTAAAAGAAGATATATGTATTCCCTTACAGTCCCTAATTCATATTCCATTTTGAAAATGTATTTGTCTTTATACACTAAAACTGCATTTTATAATTACAGAACCTGATTAGATTGTTTTTAATTAAGAAGGAATTTAGTTGGTTGTGGCTACCAGAGGAATCCAAGACGTGCATTTCATTCAGGACTCATCAGCTGAGCATACCTGCAACCCAGTGCTGAGCGATGTTGTTCCCAGTGGGACTCGAACTTCGTACCGATAGCTTCGTATGCCAAGGCGTTATGCGCTCAGCCACTTGGACATGATAGCCACTTCTTGTACGATGAAAAGTAGTCATTACTATTTACTGATACACTTGTAATCCTCCGTTGTTTTATTGGATTAAATTGTTTGGCCTCTATTAGTATATGGGCTCGTCTGTGGACGCCTCAATATTGCCTGGATATTAATCATGAAAATTTGGTTGGTTGTGGCTAGCAGAGAAATCCAGGAGGCTCGTTTAATCCTATAAAACAACGGAGAATCACAAGTATATCCCAAACTAGTAAAAAGGTGGAATTGATTAAAATAATTTTATCACGATGATACTATCGTCAATTGATAATTAAGTTATTGTATTTTCTTGTTTTCTGTTTAAAAATTATGGGTTACTCATTCAGTTGCCTATGATTAAGCTGTAATTTAGTTATCTACCGCCGTGATTTCTCATTGTCCGTTTCGTAGACATAGACGATTGAACATTGATTCTGGTTATTCAATTAAACTTACTTTACTAATCAGTTAAAAATAGTTTAGATAACTAGGTATTGAATAATTAAGGTGTGAATTTATCCCCAGTTATGTACATTCATTGTATCAGGAATTTAAAATGCTTGAAAAATAAAATGAGAATTGAGTATTTTAGAATATCGTTGATGTTGGTCGATGGAAAGAATTCATGATAGCTAATGAACATCACCGAAGAAAAGATGTCAAAATACTTCACTAGAAATATTTACAGTCTGGTCAACCGTGAGAAGTATGGCCTTTCAAACCATAGACATATGTGAGAGACTGATTACGTATGATTTCGAAAAGAAAAGCTATACCATTGGTACAATAAAGTAGGGGTGTAGTTTTTAATTGTCTAAGTAGAAAGGTGAGGTCAACAGTATTACCTGAATACTTCGAAAAGAATATACCATTCTTTACACTCCAAATACAATCCAGTAGCAGAACATCAACACTGCTTCCTTTTTTCTATGTCTATAAATTTAATTATTTCCTGTTTTATGGCTTATTAACCAACACTATATTATGGTATAAACTGAAAGAAATAGGCTTGAAGAGGATCTTTGTGATAAATCACTGAAGTAGCGCACAAGTCATCATGATTTTATGTATGTCAAGTGACATAGCCATTTGATGATTCCAAGAACAAGTCTTTTTTATAAAATCAACCATCATACCACATGATCACTATCTTGCTATTAAACCTTAAAGAAGCCTACACTTTTGCCACCTGTTCAATTCATGACATCAGTGGTGTTACATGTATTTCTCTCCTTAACACCCCCCCCCCTAGTCTTCCATTCAGTCGGTATACATTTAACAAAGCACATTTCAATGCTTCCAGTTTCATACTACTTAAAAAAAAGCAGAAGCACTGTGGATGCCACCAATGTCTTATATCACGATATTACTTATAGTCTTGATAAAAATGCAAAGTATATCACGTGTGCTTTTCTAGACTATACTTCGCAATTTGATTCTGTCCCAAGACTTCTTTTGCTAGACAAGCTGACCAGGATAAATACTGAGGCCTGCATAATCAGCTGGCTCCATTCCTATTTCTCTGATACAAAACAACATACTCTTCACATAGGGAAGTGCTCCACCTCATTGCTTACTGTCACTGGTGTTCCCCAAGGAGGCATTCTTTCCCAAAGTCTTTTCTCATTCTTAACGCATGACCTACTATCTTCAGCTAGTATCAGTCTCATTAGGCATGTCAATGACCTAACAGTTTCCATACCTATCTCCTCTTCAACAGATTGCTCCCAACTCAATAAGTTCCTATCTATTCTTAGATGATGGTCCTTCATGATTGGTCTTATGCCTATTTCTTCAAAATGTCGGGCTGTAAACTTTAGTTTAGACGTGAACATTACCTATGTAAACTGCTTAGTTCCCATAATTCCTGTTCTATTCATAGTTGTGCATTGGAGAATGTCACAAGTGTGACTTATCTCAGTGTGTGTTTTTCTTCAAACCTTTACCATACCTCACTAATTTCCAGAAACATTTTCCACCTAACTTTCCATATTAGAAAGGTGGGAATATTTGCTGGTACAACTCAACCTCTTCTCGTGTGCTTTATAAACTCTTCCATCTTGTCTGTTCTCCTCTATTGTTGCCCTTTGTTTTTTCCCCCCGGGTTGCTGAAAACAGACTATGCTGTGTATTGTGTGGAATTTTGAATACTTTCAGCAGAACTAGTGATGTTGTACCTTTAAACCTTTGAATTGAAACTCTTATGGTCAAACATATTAACTCATGTAAACATCTGGCAGGAGTTATTTTATCCGATGACCAACATCCTCTCTACTCATAGCTCTCTGTATGTCGGTTATCTGGAAAGACAAGGACAAAGTACATAAGACTTTATCCACGTACTACAAAAACTCTACAATACCATACGTATTTAGCTCGTCTGCTCTGTGATGAAGAAAGTATCAGAAATGAACTAACTAAGCAATTTCTGTTTCTGAAAGCAAACTGATTGATGAGTATACAGCATGTTACTATTTTTGTATCATGAATGTAATTGCCAATGTAATTGGTCTACCTGAATTTACTGTGTATTTTGAAGAAAGTTGTAGATAGGGTAAATATTCTTTTCTTTTTATGCATGCAATTTCTAGTTATTTCATTTTACTCTGGATACATATACACCATCTCTATCCAATTATAATGCTATATGACATGCTGAAAATTCTATAGATTATTCTCGAAATAGCCTCCAGAATAAAGCTATTATTATTATTATTATTATTATTATTATTATTATTATTATTATTATTATTATTATTATTATTATGATAATAAATAAGAAGTACAGCCAGAACTTCAATCATATCAGTCAGCAATCAATAAATGTATAGACATAGACCCAATCTATCAACCAATAAGAAAAATGATAAACTATAGAAAGGTCAGAGGTGAAGCAGAGGAACAGCCAATAGGAAAGTTAATACAATCAATGACACAACAATCGAAGGAAACAACCAATCACAGACCACATCGTCAGAGCAAGCTACTAAATCACTCACTGAGAGATATTGACAGCTCACTTCATACTGAAGTTAGCGCTGATGATGTCGTTTAGCAAGGCGATGAAAGCTTCACGATTAAACAACCCCGCTTAGAGAACACAACACAACCAAGATGATGGTCTGTATTTAAAACTTAAAAGGTGGTGGGTTTTCTAACCTAGACATTCTTGTTGTAAAGCTTCAATTATCAATCTAGACAATATCATAAAGACAAGCTAATAAAAACTTATGGAGAAAATTCCATAGCTCAATTCCGCCTGAATTATATACTGATTATGTTGTCTACAATGATAATGAAACCTCATGATTAAACCACCTATTATTATTATAATTATATTATTTTTTCCTCGGATTCCTAGTGGAACATAGGGCTTCAGTAGCATGCCTCCATTACACTCTCTTCTCTCCAGTCTTTGAACCTCGTTCCACCAATGCCCACAACCTTTCATTTCTTTCTCACATGATCTTCATCATATCACCTTCACCTCAGACGTCCAACTCGACGCTTCCCTTTCGATCCCACTCGAGTGCCTGACACGTGATGTCCCCAGTTGGCCTTCTCAGTGTATGCCTAATCCATCACCACTTCCTTCTGCATATTTGTTGGGTGATAGCTTCTTGGTTCGTTCTTCGTCAACTTGCCAGAGTTCCTTGTAGCTTATTCTTATTATTCTATCCATCTATCTCATCTTCGGTGTCAGTAACGAGTGAGCGTAGCTGTCAACTGTTGATGAATGTCTGTAGTTTGCTGTAAATGCTTTTCGTAACGCGCTGCCAAGTCTCTCAACCATCACATGGAAGCACTGATTGACTGATAATGGTGTTCAAAATCCGGATCTTGTTCAGAGAAAAGAATAACGTCGACATTGTGTAGATTTTTCAATATTCCTTTTCCAATAGTTTATCATTTCAAAAAATTATAGTGGATTTTCCTTTCTTTGGACTACTGTAGTGTATCATTTTCCACTTGTTTCACATATTAGACAGACAGAAACAATGTGGAACCTCACTTTAAGTTATCACACTTCACAATAGTATACAAAAAAGAAGTGGACAGAAAACCAGTGACAACAAAGTTTCCTAAAACGTTGAGTAAAAGAATAAGCAATTTGAAGAAGGATATCAGCCTAAATGTCCAAGCTATAGAAGACATCCAACGGTGAATATATCTATGATGCCAGCCGCTTCACTAATAATCCTCAACAACTGGTTCCTATGATCTCAGGAGACTCAGTCAGCGACTTCATATACTGGTGACACATTTTGGTCTAGCTAGCTCGAACCCTCTTCCAGTCTAGCTCTCTCTAGTATGGTACGTCGACATAGGTGGTGACTCGGTATAAGTAACATGTATAACGTTTCACACTTGATACGTGTAACTTATTTCTTAGTTAACTTCCTTCAACTAGTTGACATAATGCCATGAGGAGCGAGAAGATGGGCATATGCTGACTGGACCGAGGAAAAGATCTTAGAATATTTGTATTTCGCCGATGACTTGTGTCTGATGTCTCACAAACTGGAAAATCTACAGGCGAGCACCAACAAGTTGACAGAAGAGGTGAGGCAGCGAAGACAGGACTTCAAGTGAACGTAGAGAAGACAGAGGTGATGAAGATACCCAACCAACAACAGCATGAACAACAAGCACCATTAACAAGCGAAACCTAAAGGAAGTAGTCTCTTTCACCTACCTAGGCAAGGCGGCATCGTTTCAACTACAGGTAGTGGCGGCACAGATGAGGATGTCAAAGAAGCTAGGATCAGAAAGACAGCAAGACCGGCTTTCATTAATCTGAAATCAGTGTGGAGATCTACTTCACTCCACTCAGCATAAAGCATGAACAACATCCGGTTTTGAACACCAATATCAGTCAAGTCAGTGCTTCCATGTGATGGTTGAGAGACTTGGCAGCGCGTTACGAAAAGCATTTACAGCAAACTACAGACATTCATCAACAGTTGCCAGCTACGCTCACTCGTTACTGAAGATCAGATGGCCAGAATAATAAGAATAAGCAACAAGGAACTGAGGGAACGAACCAACCACCCAATAAATATGCAGAAGGAAGTGGAGATGGATTTGACTGGGCATACACTGAGAAGGCCGATTGGAGACATCACACGCCAGACCAGGCCGTCGAGTAGAATCGAAAGGGGAAACGACGAGTTGGTCGTCGTAGCTGAGGGTGACATGGAAGAGATCATATGAGGAATTAATGAAAGTTTGTGGGCAGTGGTGGAGCCGGGTTCGCAAGACTGCAGAGAAGAGAGTGCAATGGAAACTTGCTACTGAAGTCCTATGTTCCACTAGGAACCCAAGGGACAAATAATCATAATGAATAGTTGACATAATGAAGTATTGTTTGTGCTGAAAAGGAGATGAAAACACTTGAATCGAGGTTTACAATCTTTATGAATAGTCATTTCCATTTACACTGAAGTTAAGCATCTCCAAAGAAACTTCATATTGTGATTTCGACACTGATGAATACAGATTGAAACGCTGAGTTAACTCAAAGCTCCATTGAGTACTAACAAGCATGAGAACTTTAATTGAACTAGCGTTTCCATTAGTACACTAAAAACAAACTGTATCATTACTATAACATTCACATCATGTTACTTGTTTCGTCGAAAGATTCTTGTGACTGATGATGACATTTCTAGCTAGGTGTTAGTAAAGTTATGGATATAATCTGGTTAGCACATATGAATAAAAGAAATGAAGTTGATTGCCTTTCGGTGATCAATTGATGCGACTGACTGACCAAATCAACGTAGAACTTGGCACCCAACTGTATCAGTTCACGTTATCACACATCATAAATAATACAGAAAGAACAAGTGGATAGAAAAGAATGATAACAAAGTGGAAAAATTTATGTGACAGAAGAAAAAATATGAAGAGAAAGGTGAGTGTGAATATTCATGCTTTAGAAGATGTCAAGGAGTAGACCTATCTACGGCGCCAGTGTGATCGATTTTCAGTCATGTGACTAAGACATCCCAACTACTGGTTACCGTCTCCTCGGGGACCCCAACTAAGCAGTCTACATCTCCTCATAAGACTCAAGCTAACAGTCAGGGACTTAATCGACCAGATGATGTATTTAACGCAGTACTACATGACGTTAATCGCGATAGGAACAGCTTAGTGATAACGTCACCGACTGCAACTTTGAATGATTCATGTTCCAATATCACACAGCATATCACTTTGCTCAAGGTTACAGAGATTTATTGCTGAAGAGTGTCAACATTTAACTTTAAGTTTACAGTAGTTACAATCAGCAGACTAATAGGACATTTCACCACCCTCGATACATTCACACCTTTTCTCGTAACCAATCGGCACACCTTCGGGCCCTACAATCAAAATGGGTTTTTTCAAGCATTAAATGTTTAACAAAATGCATAAATATATAAACTTTGGAAAACTAAAAGTCACATTTGAAAGATAAAATGCAGTTCAATGTACAAGAAATGTTCAATATACACAACAAACAAACACACACACACACACACACACACACATAGACATTTGTATATATGAGGAGTTAATTACACTTTTCTGCGTTTATTTTGTTTCGAAATGGACAAGATGAACCATTGTAACATAATTAGTAATAATGATTATTATTATTATTGACAAGAGCGATACTGTTTAATAATTAGTTCAATTTTCAATGAATTTTTAAAACAAACAGAATAAACTACTCCTAATCACCTGCCTATCTGTCTGTACACATGAATAACGATGATGATGATGGTGACGATAAAAACTTCAATAACGCATGTAAGGCAACAAAGAAAAAAAGGAAGATGAATAGAAGAGAAATAGATAGGTATGCATTTATATATACCCAAGAATAAAAAGTAGGAGTAGGAAATAAATAAACAATAATGATCTCCATTTATCTCTTCCAAGTGGAATTCATATTGTTATTATTATTATTATTATTATCTCGATTGATAGATTGTGAAGTTGTTAGCCATGAATTAGGATTGAATATACCAATTGATGAATGTATTTGTGTTGAATTCAATGTAGAAAATGATGAAATTGTTGATGATGTTAATGGTAATGATGGTGGAAGTGGAGGAGGTGGTGGTGGTGGAGGTGGTGGTGGAGGTGGAACTGTACTCATAAATGACCAAAAATCATTATTACCTGAATGTTGTAATGTTACTTGATTAGTTAATGATTGTGACCAATTTGTAGTACTATAAGGTATACGTGGTAATTGTACACTTCTATGTCCAAGAGTTGATAATATTGAATGTGTTTGCTGTTGTTGTTGTTGTTGTTGTGCTGAGACTATAAAAGATCCATGTGTTAATGAAGATCTAGGCGTTAATGATATTCTTGATGGTTCATAAAACATTAAACCAGGAATCTAAAAATTCAGTATAACAAATTTGTAAAATAAATCTATAATAATTGAAAGAGTAACCCTTTCAAGATAAAAGGAATGTAAACAATTAAATGTACTTCAATTTGAGTATCAATCTTATAAAATGAAGTTCCTTCCCTACTTAAACAATATCTACTAGTCCGATATAAATGAAGTTGTAAGGCTAACAAGTACAGCTTCATTTCAAATTACACATTGAAATCAGTTTTTCTTTGACACAATACGAAATAATCAACAAAAAAAAATTTGGTCATAAACAATACTGGTATTATTCCTAAGCTAAACAAGCAAACGTGGACGAAACTAATCCAACGGGACTCGTATCTAAAATCTATTCTAGCTAGTAATCGAGTAGCTAATTGAGTCAACCAAAAATAGTTTCATGGTGTGACGCGTTAGAACTAGAACTCAATGGAATCTAGAAGACGTAAACCTATATTTTTCAAATAAACACGGACATATACAAACTTGTCAGGCAGCAGAGCGACGTTAAGGTCAATCGACGCATGATATCACTTCATACATTGTGAAGAATATGCTTAACTCAGCTGGATGGTCTTGGTTGTATTGTGTTTAGTCATGGAGCTCTCAGTATCTTTCTAGACAGCGACATAGTCAGCATTAACTTCAGTATGAAGTCAGCTGTCAATATTTCTCCATCGACCTTTGCTAACAACCTACTTCAATTCACTGGCAAGATATACAAACAGATGAAAAGAAATCCAATAAGGTCACCGATATCCGGATTAATTGTAGAACCAATGATTCAGAGATTCGTTATGTAGACGTAACTTTTGTCATCATTAAAAATGATATGGAAAACACTCAAAGTTTGATCAACAACGTTTCAAATAACATCAAATTCACAATGGAGAAGGAGTCAAGCAACCAACTACATTCCTCGATGTTTTAGTCAGTAGGACGAATACCGAAAAGCTTGAAACCCAAGTGTACAAAAAGTCAACATATCAGTCAATCATATACTCAACTACAGTAGCAACAACTCAACAAAACACAAAATTAGTTGCGTGTAGACTCAGTTCAGAAGAGCAAGAACACACTGCAGTACAACAACTTCACGAAGAAACGAAGAAAATTACTTGATGTCCATCATAAAGAAGAACGGCTACCCACAGAACTTTATCAGAAGATGCCTATCCTGTACATCATCAACTATAAAGTCATCGACAGAAGTCAACAAACACATCATCCTACCATAATGCACAAAGAATGTGTCAGAAATCACGACAAGATTACTGAGACCACTTGGTGGGATTGTATACCACTCATAAACTAAAACATTCCCTCTAAACACTATCATGCAGACCAAAGGATACAACAACCAAAGAAGATTAACCGAATATCATTTACAAAATCAACTACAATAACTGTAGTCAACACTATATTAGACAAACTGGTCTCCCACCTTCACCTTCATCACTTACATTAACACCAATTGGCTATTAAACGTCACACAGGACATTTCATCACTCATTTCAATCCATGTGAATAACAGCTATGAACATGAATTCCATTTCAACAATGTAGAAATGTTGGGTGGAGAGATAAATCGCAAGGAATATCAGAGAGTTCCTTGAAGTTTGCATTCACGTCAGTCAGTCAGTCAGCAATCAATAAATGTATAGACATAGACCCAATCTACCAACCAATAACAAAAACCATAAACAGCAGAAAGGTCAGGAGTTAAACAGAATAACAGACAACAATGAAATCAAAGGAAACAACCAATCACAAACCAGTTTGTCAGATCAAGCTACTGAATCACTCATGGAAAGATATTGACAGCTCACTTCATATTAAAGTTAATGCTGGTGATGTCGTTTGATGATATAGTTTGTGCATCTCTACCGTTGATTAACCACAATTGGCTAACAAGTTTCAAAGATGTGGATTTCATCCCAGTGGGTGATTTCCTTGGGTCTCAATCATAGTGGGGAGTTAGATTCACTCAACTGACAAGTCTTAAATGCAATGAAATCTATGCCTAAAATTCCACTACTTACTATTATCTATCATTAGATTCATACACTAGCCTTCCGTTCTGAATTCTACGGTCTATATATGTGTATCAATAGTTTGAAATCAGAGTTTTCTAAGTCCACTGTCCTGTAGGTGGATCGTACATATCCACTAATTATTTACAAACATTCATAAATACTACTCAATTTACTATAAAGTATGATATTTATCAAGAAGAAAAAAAGAAAGCAAAATGTTAAAAACCAACAACACAAGAATAATATACAACAACTGTCAAAATCTACCTACCTGTGAACTTGAAATAGACAAATTGGAATTATTATCCCTTGTAATTACAGAGGTGACAACATTTTGTGTCATTCTGGATAATTGTGTAAAAGGCATATTAACAGAATTGATTGGATTCAGATTGTTCAACATATTACTGTATGATGATAGTCGATAACCTTGTGATGGAATACATGTAGAAGGATTATGTACAAAAGAATTTCGATCTGTACCACTATGACATGAATTATTTGGAATTAGTAAGTTAGCTAAACTGCCTATAGATATATGTAATTATACAAGGAGAAATAAACATATATATATGTATATATATTTTTGATCAGAATAATGAGAAACATTACTACTACTACTACTACTACTACTACTACTACTGCTACTACTGAAATACTCAAAGATATACATAAATTAATGAGTAAACTGTAGAACACTATCAGACTTGGTCACTGTGGTAGATTCGTATTCCATATAAGTTGCCTAACTAGATGAACTGCGCAATGGGTAACATTTCACATACACATACACACACACACATACACAATTTTGAAATGGTGGAGAATATTCATCGCTTAGGTCCTGGTTATCTTATGTTCTCTGAACTGAGTTATTTAATCATCGTCTTTCTAGATGATGAAAGTTTACATCAGCATTAACTTTAATATGAAGTGAGCAATCAATATCTCTCCATGAGTGATTCAGTAGCTTAATTTGACAAACTGGTTTGTGATTGGTTGTTTCCTTTGATTGTTGTGTCATTGACTGACTGCATAGATTTTGTTGTTGGCTGTTCTTCTGCTTGACCTCTCACCTTTCTGCTGCTTATCATTTTTGTTATCGGTTGGTAGATTGGGTCTATGTCTATACATTTATTGATGACCGACTAGAAATTCTTTGATATTCTTTGTGTTTCCTCTCTCCATCCAACATTTCTACATTGTCGAAATTGAATTCATGTTCATAGCTGTTATTCACATGGATTGAAATGAGTGATGAAATATCCTGTGTGACGTTTAATAGCCAATTGGTGTTGATGTAAGTGATGAAGGTGAAGGTGGGAGACCAGTTTGTCTAATGTAGTGTTGACTACAGTTATTGTAGTTGATTTTGTAAATGATATTTGGTTAATCTTCTTTGGTTGTCGCATCCTTTGGTTTGCGTAATAGCGTTTGTAGGGAATTTGTCCGTTTATGAGTGGCCATACCAATCCCACCAAGTGATCTGAGTAATCTTGTCGTGATTTCTGACACATTCTTTGTGCATTATGGTAGGATGATGTGTTTGTTGACTTCCGTCGATGACTTTATAGTTGATGATGTACAGGATAGGCATCTTCTGATAAAGTTCTGTGGGTAGCCGTTCTTCTTTATGATGGACATCAAGTAATTTTTGGACTGCAGTGCGTTCTCACTCTGGTTCATAAACCAAAACATTCCCTCTAAATACTATCATGCAGACCAAAAGATGCAACAACCGAAGAAGATTAACCGAATATCATTTACAAAATCAACTACAATAACTGTAGTCAATACTACATTGGACAAACTGGTCTCCCACCTTCACCTTCATCACTTACATCAACACCAATTGGCTATTAAACGTCACACAGGATATTTCATCACTCATTTCAATCCATGTGAGAATAACAACTATGAACATGAATTCAATTCCGACAATGCAGAAATGTTGGATGGAGAGAGGAAACACAAAGAATATCAGAGAATTCCTTGAAGTTTGTCATTCAGCTCAGTCAGTCAGTCAGCAATCAACAGATGTATAGACATAGATCCAATCTATCAACCAATTACAAAAATGATAAACGACAGAAAGGTCAACAATGAAATCTATGCAGTCAGCCAATGACACAACAATCAAAGGAAATAATCAATCACAAACCCGTTTGTCAGATCAAGCTACTGAATCACTCATGGAGAGATAGTCACAGCTAACTTCATACTGAAGTTAGTGCTGATGATGTCGTTTATAAAGAAGATGAAAGTTTGAGGATTAAACAACTCATTCCAGTATATATATATATATATATATATATATATATATATATATATATTCGTAGATTTAAATCTTGGCCCAATGCCAACCCCCTTGCAAATCGTACATACGTTTTCTGATGTCCTTTCGTGGTATTTCAGTGCTGTAAAGGCCTTATTAATAAGTAATATAACAGAACGTTGGGCCATGTCGTCCTACTGTGTGATCATACTTGATTACACTTTGCTCTGAACTACTATATATATATATATATATATATATATATATATATATATATATATATATAGTAGTTCGTATGTCTAGTCGCCGTCTACCTCCACAAACAATATTAGCCGAAATAGGTTCAGGCTAGATAAAGGCTCCGGGTTCTCGGCCAGACTAAAACATGGCTTCAGTGTATAAAGTCTTTGACTGTTGGTTTAAGCCATGTAAGGCAATGGAGACTAACTGTTTGGGGTCCGTGTGACAAGAGAAATCAGTGGTTGAAGATTGACTCTAAGCGATATGGCTCAGAATTGAAGTCAGTAGCGCAGATAGTATCCCTACACACATTATCTTCATCTTAACGACGCTATACCTAATCTCATCATTTTCTCATTCTTCACTTTCTCTCTTTTCGTACTTTATATTTCCTCTGACTGAATTTTCTTTTCTTCATCTTCCACTTCACTGCCTTTTCGCTTGATGTACTGATGAGGTGTGGCAAGGACTGTTACACAGTAATGCCTAGTCCTATGTTGATTTGGATGGATGGAAGGCAGGGAAATGAAATAATCTTAATGAAAACCCTAGTAACCACCGAAAGGATCAACTAGGTTTCCTTATTTCTGCTGGAATGGAAGCTTTGATCATAAAATAATCAAGTCTAATGATTCATTTCATCAGTTGATAGGTCATAATATGAACGATGAAGAAATAAAGAAAAATAGGTCAGAAGTAGTGAAGAGAGGAAGAAGGTATGAGAAAAGTGCTGATATGAATATAACATTTAAGATGAAGATAAAGTGTGGATACATCTGCAATACTGACATCGATTTTCAGCTATATCACCTAGAATCAGTCTCCAACTACTGGTTTCTCTTGTCCTATGAACCCCAATCGACTAGTCTATATTTCCCAACATAGGTCAAACCAATAGTCAAAGATTTCATCATCCAATGGTACCATATTTTAGTATGGTCAACCCGAGCCTTTTTCTAATCTGAAACTACTTCGGCCAACATTGTACAATGGAGTAGGCAGTGATTAGGCATGCGTAACACAAGTCTCAAGCATGTCAGTCGATGAAGGTTCACAATCATATCAACTGACTACACTGTAATCCCTACCTAATTTCTACGTTACTGACAATAAAACCATGACACACGACCTATGCAATGGTGGTCAAACATCAGAAGCCTTCTCTTATACCTATATCTTTATCGACTGTGTTTCACAGCCATGCAGTAAGCACTTAAGCACTACAGCACAGCACACTCGACCCATAATAGACAATCGGATATCGTAGTGATACCATAGATGGTATAATTTTGTGAAAGCCAATCAAGCCTTTTTTATATCCGTGCTCATCCACTAGGACTGATCCGACTTCCCAAGTAAGTTAAGTGGTCAACTCACTCAATCACTTCACTCTCTATTGTTAGCGGGATCACCGTTGAAGACCAGTCCTAGAGCAACGATTTGCAATTTGTTGTTGAAAAATGCATTCCAAATATTCTTAAATTACCACTCAATGTGTCCAGAAGCCTCTTTATGTTTACAGTGTCTTCACCTAACAGAACTATGTCATCTGTGTACTCTAGATCTATCAAGGAATCTTCTGTGATTAGACTAATCCCTGTGATGTCTAACTCTTATATTAACTTTGTAACGGGATAGTGAAGGATGACGCAAGACCGAATTCACATCTCTCACCCCCTCATAATCCTATACGCTGAGTACAGACAAGCATAACCTATTCGACACAGGTTCTGTTAATCAATAACTAGTACATATGTCCCTAACTAATTTAAGCACTCACTTTTTAACTTTGGCATGACACATGTTCAAGTTCACTTCATTTACTTCTTTGTGTGTAGCCGAAATGTGTCGTAGGACCTCACACAACAGGTCCTGTTTACAGCTAAATATATATATATATATATATATATATATATATATATATATATATATATATAATATCGAAATACGGTGTAAATTTGTATTCAACTTATGCTTCCTTCTTGCTTGTGAAGGCAGAATCTAAGATTAACTCCAGGTGCTTGTAAATTCTTCTCCCAACTTGCAGTAAGAATAATATTTTTGCTTCTAAGTTGATCAGAGGCAATCGGCAGGAAACCTTAGACCTAAGTTTCGTACTTGTTGGCACTCGTCAGTAAAGTGTATCTAAAACGATGGAATTCATGTCTCGTCTGAGATTCAGCCAACTAAAATCTACTAGCTTGATGACCGTATTTTAAATATGATAAGTAGAGTTCGGTCTTCACATGAAATTAGTTGCTATGCCCAGCTCTAACCCAAATTGACTCCACTAAATATCATAGATATCTGTGGTTTTAATTGTTATCTCTATTATGTATAATTTTAGATATTCAGCAATTAATTAATTTTGAGGTACTATTCATCACCGACTGACACCAGTTGGGGAACGATTGAAAACCTGGGAGCACTGGACAGGTGTTTCGTACTAGTATGGGACTCCTCAACAGTACGCACCCACGACCTGCCTAGATATAGAACTTAGCTATTAATATGACAACATAGTATATACACGCACATGTCATATAAACAAAGGTGACTTACACGTTGGTGCACTGAAAGGATGACCAGCCAAATTGTTTCTGTCTTGACTACTTCCTGATAATGGATCATCTTCCCTTTCATCCTGTGTAGGAGTATCATTGCCACCACCACCGCCGTCGCTGCTGTCACCATTGCCTCCACTATTGTCATCTGTGTAACTTTTCAATGAATTTTTCTTTTCAAAACTTGTAAACTTTTGTTTTTCATTCATATTCACTTCACTATTGAAACTATTATCTGAAATAGATGATTTTCCTGTTGAAGAATGATACACTTCAGAACTGGTAGACGAGATACTACATGATGGTGAAACAATTCCACCTGTAGATACACTTAACGGTGTTATCTGATGAATTGTGCTTTCAAAAGTTGAAACGTCTGAGAATCTGGAGCGTTTAGCACTGGGATTATATGCAATAGTAGTTGCAGTAGTAGTAGTGTGAGTAGTAGTGGTAGTAGTAGTGTGAGTAGTAGTAGTAGTAGTAGTAGTAGTAGTAGTAGTAGTAGTAGTAGTAGTAGTAGTAGTAGTAGCAGTAGTAACAGATGTTGTTGTTGAATGAAGAAAATCTGACAATTTTGTATCAACAGTATTTGAAGAATTCACCGAAATTGAAGAAGTGAGTGATATTCCAGTGGGATTCGATTGTGTAGGAATACTAGCAACAGAACCAATTGAATATAAATTAAATTACAATTATATAACAAAAGTGATTACAGTAAAACATTTCTAACACAGGTATGTGTTAATATATCTAGTTTCATGTTGAACATTGAAATAATAGCTCATTAGTTTTACATTAGATAGATAGACAAAATCAATGTAGAACTTTGCACATGACTGTATCGGCTCACGTTGTCATACTTCACAATAGTATAAAAAGAACAGGTGGATAGAAAAATACCGATATCAAAGTTGTGTGAGACAATAAACAGTTTTCAGATAAAGATTACTGCAAATATTCAGATTTGGGAGATGTCAGGGAGTGAATAAATCTGTGACGCCATTGTGACTGATTTTCAGTCATGTCACGAACAATTCTCAATCACTGATTCCTAGACAGTCTACATCTCCCTACACCGCTCAGACCTACAGTTAGAGACTTCATGGAATGGTGCTACGACTTAATCTGGTCACCCTAAACCCTTTTTCAGTTTAATTCAAGTTCCTCTATCATGACAAGTCGTGGTAAGCGTTGACTGACGATCACAACCTCATCAATCGACTTGCCTATCTTGTCTAGTACCCTTCGCCTGACCCCAACGTTGCTGAGACGGCGATCCCACCAAACGCGTAGCAACGCTTCGAAGACATCTATGATCAAAACTCATTCATCGCTTCGTGTCATCTACTTTTAACGGCCATGTCTCACAGCCGTATAACAGGACAGAATAAACTGCAGAGCAGTACATTCATCGTGCGATAAGTAGTCAGATATTTTGCCAGTTGATGCTATGAATGACACAAGTTGGCGAATGCTAAACGAACCTTCTGTATCCTAGCTGAGGTTTACTCAGAAATCAGCCTGTTTCCAAGTAAGTGAAGTGGTTGACACATTCAACTACTTCACTCCTTATCATTAAAGTGTAATTGGTTTCAGACCAGTCCTGAAGTATCATCTTACATTTGATAGGTGCGAAACGCATACCACACAGCTCAGAAACCACAGTTAGAGACTTCAATGACTGATGTCACGACTTAATCTGGTCACCTTGAACCCTCTTTCCAACCTAATTCAACTTCTGTTATCATGGCATGTCGTGGTAGGCGGTAGCTCGACTAAGGTTCACAACCTTATCAATCGACTTGCCTGTCTTGTCTAGTATCCTTCACCTGACTTCAACATTACTAACATCAGCATACAAAGAACAAGGGGATAGAAAAAGACTGATATCGAAGTAGACTAAGGTGTAGGAGAGAGAAAGAGACAGAAAATATTCAAGCTTTGGAAGATGTCATTGTGACAGGTTTTCAGCTATATCAGCATATATCTCCTCGAACTGTTGATCAGTTTACGTAATCGACTTTCAATTATTACATTAAAGGTTCGAAATGCATCACAATTACTAAAGTTTGGATAGACAAGTGATGTTTTATCCACCTTCATCCAAGTATAAGTGACTACATATTGCGTTGTGATGAACAGTTATTACGTTAATAGACATACGCTGAGTTAAAATATAACAGTCTATATTTTTCCCAACAATAGTTTGAAATTGAAACTGTAGAAAATCTGATGTACAGATTCCAGCTTCCTGTAGAAGAAGGACTAAAATATCGGCATAAAATTTATACCTTACTCATTTGACAGTCATAGGAACATAAATTCTTGTCTGAACAGTATATATGCGCGATTGTCAAGTATGTGCGCAGAAAAAGTTGAAATGTTGTCAACAACCACTTGTACTTTTGTCCAGTAGGTAGTGAACCACGCTAACCAAAGGTTAACGTTGCTTACTATCACCTAGTTGTCTAAAACTTGGTAGCTGGAGAAAGAGGCTTGAACTAGTGGTCCATTGTTTAAAAATCGAATGCTTAGACTAATCCATCCATAATTCAAGTATATGCTCAAACATACCATCGCATGTTTCAAATTAGTTCTAATATCTGGGTCAAGGAGTTGGATTAGCATTGAATCCCCATCATAGAGTTAAGTTTAATCTCATTTTATTTGGTTCATAAGATGTATCATCCAGTGAAGTAACAGTATTATTTACAGGAATACGTTTCGGAAGCAATTTATGTTGTTCATACTCATACTAACAAAACTCAACAACTTTGAGACATCGTCTATATAGTTCTAGTTGTATCACCTTCTTTGCATACATCCGGAACAGGCGCAGAGTTATTCCTGTTGCATGTATCAGGTGCTGATTCGATAAACACAGATTCAGTTATCGATCTTTCCCTGCACACCACTAGGTTACTTTGAAGGATTTTCATCCTGTTCAACAAACTACAGACATTCATCAACAGCTAGCTACACTTGATGCTGAAGATCAAATAGACGGGCAGAAAGAATAAGCAACAAAGAACTCACTCTGCAACGAACCAACCAAGAACCCATCGCCTAACAAATATACGGAAGAAAAAAGTGGAGATGGATTGGACTGGGCATACACTGAGAAGGCCGATTGGGACATCATATGCCAGGCCAGGCGTCAAGTGTCAGCCAAATAGGAAACGACAAGTTGGGCGTCAGAGGGTGACATGGAGGATATCATTTGAGGAAGAAATGAAAACTTCTAGGCAGTCGTGGTGCCAGGTGCAAAAGACTGCAGAGAACAGAGTGCAATGGCAACGTGCTACTGAAGTTGTATGTTCCACTAGGAACCCAAGGGGAAAAAAATAATAATAATAATTTCTTTATTAGTCCTTTGGGTTCCTAGTGGAACATACAGCTTCAGTTGCACGTCACCATTTCACCCTCTTCTCTACATTCTTCTCAACCTGGCTCCATGACTCCCCACAACCTTTCATTTCTTCCTCACACCATCTCTTCCACGTCATCCTCTGCTGGGACGACCAACTCGTCGTTTCCCCTTTGGCCGTCACTCGACGGCCTGGCTGCCTGGCATGTGATGTCCCCAATCGGCCTTCTCAGTGTATGCCCAGTCCAATCCATCTCCAATTTTTTCTTCCGCATATTTGTTGGGTGATGGGTTCTTGGTTGGTTCGTTACCAGTTGCCAGCAAGAGTGAGTTCCTTCTTGCTTATTCTTATTATTCTGGTCCTCTGTCTGATTGATCTTAAGTATCGAATAAGCGTAGACGGCAGCTGTTGATGAATATCTGTACTTTGTTGGGAATGCTTTTCATAACGCAACGTCAAGTCTCTCAACCACATATAAGCACTGACTTGACGTTGGTATTGAAAATCTGGATCTTGTTCAAGCTTTATGCTGAGTGCAGTGCAGTACAGTAGATCTCCACACTGATTTCAGGTTGATGAAGACCAATCTTGGTTTTCCGATACTGAATTTGACGTCTTCACCTGTGCCGCGTGTAGTTGAAATGATGCTGCCTAGGCGGGTGAAAGACATCCTATTGTATGGTGGTGAATAATTGCATGCAAAGCTATAGTTGAGCTTTTCTTTAAATTCCTGATCTTACTACGATCTACCAATTTCCACCTATTTAGGTTTTTGTGTTCGGAGAGGCTAATGATCCTGATCAACTACTTTGATCTATGTAATTGACCTCGCAATCGTCGCACAAGGTTTACCAAACTAAATTATCTTGCCGAATTGGATCAATGAGATCTCTTTAACCTACAGAGACTATTTTCGAAGTGAGTTTGTAGGCTGAAATGTCACTTTAATCCCAGCCAGCTTTGTTGAAAATCCTACACAATCTCTCTGCAGTACCTTCTTTCTATGGTAATACTGTAGATGTATTGATGTCTCTCTTCATAGTATTGCCACTATTATTATTATCTTCATTATTATCACTTCTACGATTCCTAGGAATGTAAAGAATGTAGACCGTCGCATACAAGCGTATCCGTTCATCTTGTCACACTCTACAGTAGTTCACAAAGAACAGGCGGAGAGAGAGAGAGAGAGAGAGAACAAATAATTTGAAGATAACGGCTAATACAAATATTCAAGCCCTAGATATCCAAGATTGAATAATCTGTGCCGTCATCGTGACCAATGTCAACCATGTCACTGGGTGTCAGTTCTCAATTAGTGATTCCTTTCGACCCCAGGGATAGCAACCAAGCAGTCTACAACTCCTCACATCGCTCAGACCTACAGTCTGAGACTTCATCGACTGGTGTCAAGGTCTTGATCTGACCACCCTCAACCCTGAACCCTTCATTTACCCTACTCCAACTTCCCATAGCATAACACGTAGAGATAGGCGATGACTCGATATGTGCACAGACTACAAAATCACAATAAAACTACAATTTAACAAAATATTATTTTTTTTTAAAAATTAACTTCAACCTACTTTTTCATCAAATTTGAAAGTCCAGTTAACCGAGAAATAATAGCAAATGGATCTTCTATAGGTTTATTTACAGTCGAATTGATATTTATCTCAGTAGATTTGTTAGATTTCAATATGTCAGTCGAGTGTATTACTGAAACTGGTTGTGTAACTACTTCCTGTTGACTAACATTCAATACTTGACTACATTCTGTTGGTATAATAATAGACGGTAAAGAAGTGATTCGATTCTCTATTATCGGTGCAGTTGTTGTCAAAACTGTAAAATTATTTGATGTTGTAGTCATAACAACAGTGGGCAATGGAAATGAAGAAGATTTTGAGATAGGCATTAATTGTGGTTGACATAAATTTCTCAATATATTAATAGCTGAATATTGTTGTGATGGAATCACTTCTGATGGAGTACTTTTTATACTAGACTGAATACGTTTTGTTACATCACTTGTAATCATATTGATTTTTTCAATATCCAATGGTATTGGTGGCACTGACAGTGGTGGTGGTGGTGGAATTAGTAAGTGAGATTTTGTTACAGGAACTTGATAAGCTAATTCGTTCAATGTTGAAGGTAATGGAGGCGGTGGACTGAAAGAATGTTGATCTAATCCAATAAATGGTGGAGGTGGTGGTGGTGGTGGAGGTATACGAATAGCTGCAGCTGGTCTAAGTGATGGTGTTGGTTGAATAAACTGTTCAGGTTGATGAGATAAACCCACTACGTTCTGAGGAGATACAACACAACTAACTGGAGTATGACCAGGGGAACCATGAGATAGCTGAGGGGGTGGGAAGAGGGAATGAGATAACAACAAAAAACACCCTATGAAAACACTGTCCTCTAGTGTGAAATAAAATGAGTAAATAAGTAAATAAGCACCAACAATGTTGAAACAATTACTGTAGTATAGTCTTACTTTGTTGTCTCAAGAGTACCGAGACAAAACAAACGATCTTTATCGTTGAACAGTGATATACTATGCAGTAACTCGAGAACATCTTGACAGCCATTTCAACTTCACTGTATGTTTAATCATTGGATAGACTGTTTTTCTATACAGAATTCGTGCCTTAAAATGTAAATCGCCATGTCTTCAGTGTCATCTACACACTACATGGTAATCTCATGAAGACTGTGGGAATAGAGGTTATAGAAGACAGTATTATCCCGCACGAATTCTAGATCGAAACGCACTCAGCAACATTGTGTACACTCATCCAGCAGGCTACTTGCCACACACCTATTGTTTGATGGCTATTAATGATACCACATGGCTGCCTAAATCTTGGTAGGTGGGCTGGGGGTTCGAACCCGTGACCCATTATTTGAAAGTTATCTCCTTTGAATTTGGGGGTTTGTGGGGATTTAATGATTTTTCAAGTTGGTATTCATCATCGACTGACATCAGTTCAGGGAACATTGGAAACCTGGGAGCACTGGACACCTAGCTGTTTCGTTCTCGTATGGGACCCTTCAGCAGTGCTGTGACCATCACTGAGTGTCATCATTGAGTACTTGTCTTCATGTTCACTCGGTTTTCCTCCCTGACCACGACTTCTCACTGGAACTTCAGGAATCAAGTCTCGAAGCTAGTCACCAACGAGCCACAACTTCACTGAATTCTAGAAAGAGGACACGTTATTTTATTGAAAACTAATAATAACCAGCAGCTGCAATAACAAGAAAAGAAAGGATAACCTTTAAATACTTACACAGTTCCTTGCTTGTATATCAGATTTTTGTTGGGTAAATATACGCCAGTCTTTATCTTGTGTACTTGAAGTCATATTATCATCAAGATTTTTCTTTTCATCTTGTAGAAGAGTTTGTTTTACATCAGGTTCTTCACCATCAGACACTTCCATATTATCTTCATCATCTTCAGTTACACTAGAACTTCCTTTATTCAATCCATCATTATTTAAAATACTTGAACTTAAAGTCCCAACAGATGGAATTTTATGACTTTCAGATGAATCTGAAAGATTAGGTTGATGATTAACTGTATGTATATTGATAGATAGGGGATTGTTTAAATCTACCATTGAAGAAGTGATATTGACTATTGAATCATGAAGTTGTATTGATGGCATGACCTCTTGTCTATATGGAAATGGATGTAAAGGAGTTAAATGTAATTGATGCTGATTAGAAAATTACACTTAGAAGTGGTTAAAAATACAAACAATTCATGTTACTAGTATAAATGTTTTTATATCATACCGTCGTTGATTGTACCGAATTGATCGGTCTCTTTCGGCGGATACCTCGATATTACCTGTGTTCTAATCACAGTAATGATGGATAGTGGCTAGCAGTGGAATCCAGGATGCGCATTTCGTCCTATTTGGGACTCATCAGCTGGATGTACCTGCTTCCCGGTGAGTGATGTTGTTCGCATCGGGATTCGGACTCGGGACTGATCGTTTCAAATACCAGAGCATTATCCACTAAATGACGGAGCCACGATAGCAACTTCTTATGCGACGGGTATAGTTTTTAATTACTCATTGTATAATGTGTATTTTTATTTGTATAATCTCGACGTAGTATATTAGAACAAATAACAAAATAAATAAATATTTAGTACATCATTCCTCAACATTTCCATCTTGCTAGGAAGATCGTTTTCTTCAAGAGTATCAATCTGACATTAAGTTATCAGATTAATATTCAAGTTTTAGTACAGAAGATGGTGATCTTTACAATCATCCAATCACATCGTGATATGGAGCAAAGAGTGAATAAGTAAATCGATCTGAGAGGCTTTTTTCAGTTATGTGAGTAAGGTGGAACCAAAAATAGGGTGGTCTATGAAAAGTACAATGGGGTTGTGAGACATCAAAGGTGAGAAAGAATAGATTACTAGTTTCGAAGGATGAATGTGATATGATAAATAAAAATAATGATAAAGGTACTTTTGATAACACTTGAAGTATGAGTGATAACAAAATGGATTATGTATATATATATATATATATATATATATATATATATATATATATATATATATATATATATATATATATATATATATATATATATATATATATATATATATTGGTTCATAGAATGTATATAACTCAGATAGCAGCGTAAAATTGATGAGAATCGTAGATGAATAGAGTGTTACGTAATAGAAATAGACAAGTTGTTAAAATACAATCAATATTTTTTGACGTGGTTAAGACAATTAAGCGAAATAACACCGGAAACTATTCAAACAAGAGTGAATTCGGAATAAATCATATGGAATGAAACTGTGTTCTACCTTCTCTTCATATATTATTCACAAGTGTCTATGTGAGTCATAAATGTTTGACATAATAGTGGGATGTCTAACCCATCTTTTCTGTTGACCGAAGAAGGATATGAACAGACGTGCAAAACTTCTACAACATCCCGCTGTTTGTGAGAAAGAAAACCCTTTTCCAGGACTTTCATCTGTTCGAATGATATTTTATGACCTAAATATAAGGTATGAGCCACGATGGCAGAGCTTTTTTCAAATTTCTCTAGATCATATGAGTTTTTTGATGGTTTCTTAGAACTTCGACCGTGTTCCTCTAGACGTGTTACTACTTGACGGGATGTCTCTTCAATGAATATTAACTTGCAAACTTTATGTCAGATTGATACTCTTGAAGAAAACGATCTTCCTAGCAAGATGAAAATGTTGAGGAATGATGTACTAAATATTCATTTATTTTGTTATTTGTTCAAGTATACTACGCCGGGACTATACAAGTAAAAATACACCTTATACAATGAATTTTCACTATTCTTTAATTTTATCCATTATTGTTGACATGATATACTTTACTAACATTTTCAAACTGAAAAGTAGTATATCTATCAACCTAGAGAATATAAAATTTCATTGATTGATCACTGAAGAGTATCCAGTTTCATATTGTCTAGTCTTGAGGACTGAGTGGTTCATTTTACAACGGGGTCATCAAACTGAGAGAGTCACTATCGCGGTATACTTTTGATGGTTATTAGTTGGTTAGAGACAATCGATAGATTTTGGTGTAAAAATGATTGATAAGACTAAACAACTTGAAACTGGTTGCTCTCCAGTGACGAATTAGTGTATGAAATCTCGTCGTAAAGGACGTCCATGGTGGTGTGAATAGCTTAATGGTAACGACACTGTCTATAACACTAGTTGACGTGGGTGTGAATGTCAAAGGGAATATCATTTTCCAAGAGGTTATAGATGTACCTTATTGATGACTGCTGAGAAGTGCAAAATCTTAGACGATCAGGGCTTTCTACTCATTTTCTGGGCTACCAAATAACATCCAACACAAAATTTCTTTTATTCGTTGGTTTGTCTAAGATATTTTCAAATACTTCAATATATGCTGAAGATCCGCCATAAAGTTTCTGAGAGCCATAAAAGTAGCAGGATCAGATGGAATTCCACCTGAAGCACTGAAAACAGACGTGGAGACAACAGAGGACATGCTCACACCACTACTGCAGAAGGTTTGGAAGGAATTAAGGAAAGGTGCCTGCCGATTGGTTGGAAGGAAAAAGAGCTACCTTGTCAAACTCCCAAAGAAGTGAGACATAAGTCTTTGCAAGAACTGGCGAGGAATCATGCTGCTGTCCACCCCAAGCAAAATATTAGGCCACATCATCCTGGAGATAGGGACTTACTCGCACAACCGAAAAAAGCCTCTCAGATCGATTTACTTATTCACTCTTTGCTCCATATCACGATGTGATTGGATGATTGTAAAGATCACCATCTTCTGTACTAAAACTTGAATATTAATCTGATAACTTAATGTCAGATTGATACTCTTGAAGAAAAAGATCTTCCTAGCAAGATGGAAATGTTGAGGAATGATGTACTAAATATTTATTTATTTTGTTATTTGTTCTAATATACTACGTCGAGATTATACAAATAAAAATACACATTATACAATGAATTATACTAACTCGGTGCCAAAGTTTTTTTCAAACCATCCAGTCCATTGTTGGTGGTCAGGATACCTTCAAATTCATGTTACTATTATATTGTAGGTAATAATTACTTAAAATATGTTATGGAATGAGTCAATAGCATCTCGTAGATTCCTCAAAGAAAGATAGAGTTTTCAGAATAGTTTCACAACCAATCACAGTATGTCAAATATTCACGAAAATCAAGTGAGATCATACATATAACTTTCCAATTGACTAAATATCTTCTTTTTAAAAAATGTAAGAAAATGTGAAAACCATTGAAGGCATACTACTTATTCTGTAAGGAATAATGCTACACTATCAGAGTTATAGATATTCAAATCAAGTTGAGATTTCACAGTTTGAAAAAAATTTCGGCATTAGGTGAATGACACTCATTATTTTGGTATTTTTATTGCCCTAATGAATGTAAATTTGTTTCATCTGACGTTTCATTATTTAATGCTGATAGGTTTATCAAAGTTATAGTAGTAAACTGGAATTTACAATATCCCCAATGCTTATATATGATAACTTGATAAGTGTTCTTCTGAATGAATGATTCCGTGTCGTCAGAATCGTTGACTAGAGATGATAACCATATGTAGTGTGTTGTGTGTATGAATTATAGATTGAGATTTGTATATACACATGTGTTGATAGTTCTTATCACACGTCTATTGGTTATGTTAGTATGTGGAGGTGGGTTGAGCTATGTCTTACTCTCTCATTCCTACCTATTTAGACAATTTCGATTCCACTAAAGGTGAAGAGATTCTGATATGCTATAAGACATTCTTTATAATTTCTAAAGCCCTTCTGAATAACTTTGATGTTATCAAAATCCATCTTATGACCTAAACTTACAACATGTAGAGCTATGGCTGGTATGTTTCCAAGTTTTTTCAGTTCCATTAAATTTCTAAAGGGTTGGGTTGAAGCTTTTCGGTGTTTATTTTTTCGAATTGCGGTTTCATGGGAAGTGTGGCCAATGTATTCTGGATGGCAGTCTGAGCATTTTATTTTATAAACACGACTAGATTGTGAATCTGGAAGGATCTCATTCTTCAAATGAACTCAGGTGTTCTGCAATGTGTTTGATGTTCTATAGAACACTCCAATGATATTGTATTTGTTAAGCACTCTCCTAATTTCATCCAATGTGTGTGATCTGTATGGGATGCTGACTATTGTTGAAACCCACAATTTAGGAGTAGTTTTTTATGATCAAATTTAATGTTGTTTTCTATTTTGAAAATGAATTTTACCGGATAATTATTCACTTCAGGAACCTTGTTCACATAGTTTAATTCCTTAGCTCTTTCATTTTTATTCGTTATTAGAGTATATGATCTTCTTAAAAGACTGGAGGCTACAGAAACTTTCGGACAGGTTGGATACAATGAGCTGAAATGTAGATATTTGTTCGAATCTGCTGCTTTCCTGAAAGTGGTTATACCTAAGCGTCCACTTTCTTCCCGCTTATCAAAACAATCAAGGAAAGGCAGTTGTCCATTATGTTTCCTTTTCTGAGTTTAACTCGATACTGGGAGATCTAGAGTTCAGCTGATCGAAGGATACCTGGTATGCGTCACATTTTACAAGTACGAATTTGTTAACGACATAGCCAGATATTTGGATTTAGTAAGTGAGTGAAGACACTTTCTTCGAATTTACTTATAAATAGATTAGGTGCTATGTATGAAACAGGGGAAGCCATAGCAACACCGTCAGTTTGTCTGTATACTTTTCCTTTATATGTGAAGTAGGTAGTCTCTAAGCGAATTTTAGAGCCTTGATGATGTCACTGGTGTTCAGTGGACATCTTTCTGTTAATGACGTGTTTCAGTCTAATAAATTAGGAATGATATCTAGGCCATCAATAATTAAAATATGAGTACACAAGGAATTAATGTCACAGCTTACATAATTTCATCTTCCTCAATTTTAAGTGAAGAAATTTCGGATTTAAAATCGAGTCCTTTATTGCGTATTCTGAGTACTACTGAATTGAAGTCAGGTATTTAAACAGGTTGCATGTTGATGTAAGTGTAAAGAAGATGGAGGTGATGAAGATACCCAACCAACACCACCAACAACAACAACAAGCTCCCATCACCAATAACAGGAGAAACCTAAAGAAAGTAGCCTTTTTCACCTATCTATGCGAGGCAGCATCGTTTCAACTACAGGCAGTGGTGGCACATATGCGGATGTCAAAGAAGCCAGGATCGGGAAACCAAGACAGGCGTTCATCAACCTGAAACCAGTGTGGAGATCTTCTGCACTCCACTCAGCATAAAGCATGAACAAGATCCAGATTTTCAATACCAACGTCAAGTCAGTGCTTATATATGGTTGAGAGACTTGGCGTTGCGTTATGAAAAGCATTCCCAACAAAGTACAGATATTCATCAACAGCTGCCTACACTTGATGCTGAAGATCAGACAGACGGTCAGAACGAATAACCAACAAGGGACTCACTCTGCAACGAACCAACGAAGAACCCATCGTCCAACAAATATACGGAAGAAAAAAGTGGAGATGGATTGGACTGGGCATACACTGAGAAGGCCGATTGGGGACATCACTCACCAGGCCAGCCAGGCACTCAAGTGACAGCTAAAGGGGAAACGACGAGTTGGTCGTCCCAGCTGAGGATGACGTGGAAAGATGGTGTGAGGAAGAAATGAAAGGTTCTGGACAGTCGTGGAGCGAGGTTCAAAAGACTGCAGAGAAGAGGGTGAAATGGTGACGTGCAACTGAAGCTGTATGTTCCACTAGGAACCCAAGGGAAGAAAATTAACAATAAATTATGTTGATGAAGTCCAAACAGAAGAACACTTGTCAAGTTATCATATATAAGCTTGGAGGATATTATAAATTTTGGTTTACTATAACTTTATTAAAGCTATTAGCAGTACTTAATAACGAAACGTCAGTTGAAATAAATTCATTTCGTCATACCTTCTCATTAGGGAAATACGAATACCTTAATAACGAATACTATCAGAGACTGTTCAAAGCATAGTTAGTGCAGTAAAGTTCGAATTCATGATCTATAGATCGGAAGACTAGCCACAGTTCAATAGACAAACATAAAGACAGAAACGACGTAGAACCTCGAACACAAATCCATCCGTTCAACTCGCAACACTTCAGAGTAGCATATAAAGAATAACTGAATAGAAAAAAAGACTGACATCAAAATAGACGAAAGTGAATTGGAGAAGAAATTTAAAAATAAAGGTTAGTGAAAATATTCAAGCAAATCACAATAACTCTCGAGGTCCTACTATGCCAAAAGATCTACTAGATAGTGGTAAGACGAAAAGCAGTTCCTATCGTATGAATGATGGGGTTCTAAGGGCAAAGTTAAACTACTTCCAGCTGGATGGAATGTTATGGCAGTAAGATGTTTCCTTTGGGTGACTAGCAGTGCCAAATTAATGCTGCCTTCCCTGCGGCAAGGGGATTAGAAAAGGTCGGCCTCAATAATACTACACTCCTCCCGGCTTCAATATCTTCAGGTGCCGGTTGTGTAAATTCTCTCTAGACTGCGTTAGAACAACCAAGCCTCAAAACAACATCCTGCAAGAGTCCGTGTGTGACAGACGTCAATTAGATATCCCATGGGCTCTACGATCACATAAATCTCCTTCAGATACCTTAGAAAGAAATAGCCTTCCACCGTTTGAGCAGCTGGGAAGTATCAGCCTCCCACACACACTTCCAGTAGTATACAAGACCCAATCAAAACATAAACAATGCAAAACCTTGTAAGCTACAACAATAAAACACACAAATCTATTGATAAGAACTTTAAAGATGATAAATTATGTTTCACATACCTGTTACTACAAATACTACTACTATTAGTAGTAGCTAGATTAGACAGTACAGGATTCAATAGAACTCTGTAATCAACATCCCCAGTTGCATCGCAAACTGGTTTAAAAATAGGAAAACCAAATGGTGTTGTCTTGTTTAATGAATGATCATTGAATCGGTTGTCCGGTGTTGAAGAATTTTCAATGGTGTGAGCAGATGAAACAAATAAATTGTCTATTGGTTTGGTAGAAAGTTGAATGAAGGAGACATATTACCATTCACCTCTACAAAACATTCATTAATCTTTTTATCATCCGCTTCACGACGTTTGTATTCATTATTTTCTCGACATTTCAAACTAACAGAGCATCACAACGACTGTCATCACCATCATCGTCATCATCATCATCATCTACAAATCCTCCACCGAAATCTTCATAATCATCACCACCTGAATGATATGGTTCCTCGTCTAATGAATTCTCTTTACTTTTTACCGATGACTTCATTGCTACCTGTTCGTCTTGGTGTTCTGACTTACTCCATTCATCAGTAAGAGTATTCGATTTCGACTTGCAGTTTTCTGTGGTATATTTTCGTGATACCTCATCTTTGTGAAGTATATCATGCAATTGAGAAAGTGTTTTTGTCACACGTTTCCCGTATGTACCATAAGCCTAAAAAAGTTATGCAATCAAAAATTGGGGACAATAAGCGATAGAAAATGAATAAGATGTAAATAGATATACACATAATTACCATTTATAAAAGATGATAAGGTGTTTGATAATGAATGCCTTATTATTTATTTGTCCCTTGGGTTCTTAGTGGAACATACAGCTTCAGTAGCACAACTCCATTATACTCTGTTCTCTGCAATCTTCTAAACCTCACTCCACGACTGCCCAGAAGCTCTCATCTCTTCCTCACATGATCTCATCCATGTTACCCTCACCTCGAAGTCCAACTCACCGTTGCCCATCTAAGTTCCACTCCACTGCCTGGCTGGCCTGGTGAGCAATGTCCTCAGTCGGCATTCTCAGTGTGTGCCCAATTCCATCCATCTCCACTTCCTTGTGCATACTGGTTCAGCGATAGCTTCTTGGTTGGTTCGTTGCTCGGCCTGAACCCCTTGTCGCTTATTCGTTCTGGCCATCTGATCTGAGCTTCACTATCGAGTGAGTGTACGCGGCAACTGTTGATGAATGTCTGTACCTAGTTGGAAATGCTTTATGTGACACGCCAAGTTTCTGAACCATATAGAAGCACTAACTTGACTGACACTCGTGTTGAAAATCCGCATCTCGTCCCACATACTCAGCACAGTAGATCTCCACACTGGTTTCAGGTTAAAAATGCCTGTCTTGCTGTCTTTCCGATCCTGGCTTCTTTGACATCCTCGTCTGTGCCGCCATCTGCCTGTAGTTGAAACGATGCTGCCTCGCATAGATAGGTGAAAAGAGCTACTTCCTTTAGGTTTCATCCTGTTATTGGTGTTGTGTTGTGTTGTTGGTTGGGTATCTTCATCACCTCTGTCTTCTCCACGTTCACTTGAAGTCCCGTCTTCGCTGCCTCACCCCTTCTGTCAACTTGTTGGTGCTCGACTGTAGATTTTCCAGTTTGTGAGACATCAGACACAGGTCATCGGCGAAATACAAATATTCTAAGATCTTTTCCTCGGTCCAGTCAGCGTATCCCCCTCTTCTCACAGCTCCTCACTATTTGTTGCATGATCCAGTCAACCCCAATCAGGAACATCATCGTTGATAGTAGGCAGCCTTGTCTTACTACTTCCTGTCTTCGCTTTAAAGGCATCACTCAGCTTTCCATTGTGAATAAATAGGCATGTGGCGTCTTCATATAGTTGCTGAATGAGGTTCATAAAGATTTGTGGTAGTCCGTAGTGTTGAAGCAACTGCCTGCCGAATTACCTCTCGGTCGACGCCTCAATCGAAGATCTTTTCAAAGTCGATGAACTTGAGGTAGAGAGTTGACTGCCATTCTATGATGATGCGTAGTGTGGCGTTGCAACTTGGTCCGCACGTGATTTGTACTTCCTGAATCCAGCCAGCCTGTTCCGGTCGTAGTTTTGTATCCAGCGCATCCCTTAGTCTCTCTAGGATGATGCGGCTTAATATTTTGCTTGGGGTGGACAGCAGCGTGATTCAGCGCCAGTTCTTGCAAAGACTTAGGTCGCCCTTCTTCGGGAGTTTGACAAGGTAGCCCTTCTTCCAATCGATCGGCAGGTACTTTTTCTTCCTTGCAAACCCTCTGCAATAGTGGTGTGGGCATGTTCGCCCTAACAATATCATATTCACTACAACTGAAAAGCTTAATGCAAAACAATGAATTAGTTCTTAAAGAAGGTAACATCGATTTGATACAAAAGGAGTTAAGATACATTTATAATATGCTGATAGAAATGGGTTACCGTCATAGTTTTATCAAGAGATACATATGGACAAAGTGAGTAGAAAATTTCACAGTTCAGAAGAAATCATTATTCAATGAAGGCTTCAATTTAAAAGGGATAAATCTCTTTGAAGTCCTATTCCAGAGGCTTAACACAATCATCAGAAAAATTTTCTATGCTGTTTTCAACCTTTGCTTATCATTTATGAATTCAGCTGCTCCTGCAGAAAAGGTTATACTGAGTGTACCACCAGGCAGCTAAACAAACGTGTTAGAATGGAATGGAATCAATGAAATTCGTACTCATGTATTACATATAGCTGAGGCTATAAGAATTAGGGAAAAGAACACTAGTCTTTGTGTGCAGAAAAGTCTGCGCAGTCCTTACTTATCTCTGCCTTTGAGATACTTATTTACATGTTTAGATTTGGACTATCTACAGACTTTATCCTCTAGTATTACGTAACTTTTCTTTTTCTAAGTTTTGACCTACAATGATTGCTTAAATGTCTGCAGTACAATGATGTTCTCATAATTCTTACCATTATTACTCATCGCATAGAGGTGTACTTTATCTCCTTTATCCCGGCGAAGTATATTAGAACAAATATTATTGTAATGATGGATAATGGCTAGCAGTGGAATCCACAATGCGCATTTCGTCCCATTTATGACTCGTCGACTGGATGTGAGTCATATTGTTCCTACCGCGATCCCCATCCTGGACTTCACTGCTAACCACTATACATCATTACTATAATTAGAACACAGGTAATATCGAGGCATCCACACAGGAGCCCATATGCCAATAGAGACCGATCAATTCGATTCAATCGGTTATGGTGTAATACAAGCACTTATACCGAATATTATTATTACTGGTTATCATTACTGGTACTGGGTGATTATTGAGAGCAAAACGAAAATTTGGGCCGCGATGGGATTCGAACCAGCCACCTACGGGTTCCTGGCCGAGGGCTCTACCAACTGAGCTCCAAGGTAGTAACGCGTCACGAATTTACATGGTACTCAAGAAACCTCCTAGTGATTGAAGTAAAATAAAAATGTGGCAGCAGTTGGTAGAGAACCAAGACGAAAACATTCAAGCTTTAGAATGAATCAAAGTGTGAATACATCTGTCCAATCATAATCGAGTTCACCAAGAGTTCTCAACCAATGATTCCTATGGTACCCGGGACCCCAATCAGGCGGTCAGTCAGCGCCTCCATACACAACTTAGGTCAACAGTCACAAACTCTACACACTGCTGTCACGTGTTAGTCTCACCACCCTGAGCCCTCTTCTTCTAACCTAATCCAACTTCCCCTAGTATGACGCATAGAGGTAGGCGATAGCACGGAATGCGTATTTCAAACCAACTCAGTCCATGAAGATTCATAACCTCAGCAATCGTCTTGCTTTTTTTGCCGAATCCCCTCCATCTGACCTCAACATTCCACACATGGTAATACGCGAGCAACTCTAAGAAGATATTCGTGATGGAAAACCCTGACATCGCTTCATATTTTCTACTTTCACTAGTTATGTTCCACAGTTGCATAATAGAATACAATGAACTTCAGGGTAGTATAGTCGTCGTTTAACAAGCAGTAGGATATCTCGCCATTCAGAGGCATAGATGACGCAAGTCAGTAAATTCCAAACGGGGTTTCTATATCCAAGCTAAGATTTTACTTGAGGTGATGCAAATCCCCGAGTAAGTGAAGTGATCGATACCTCCCACTACTTCACTGTCTATCCTTAGACTGACTAGGAGTATTTGCAGACTAGTCCTGCAGCATCATCTTACATATGAAACATATACCAGTCAAACGCACTCAGATTTCGGTTCAACACCTTCAAAAGACCCTTCATTTTGTTAGCATTACTTGATAAAAGCAAACAAGTAGTCCATTAAGGTTGATCAGGGTGAAAAGGTACTTGCTTGCTTTAAAGAATTGTCAAGAAACTTATCAAAGTGGATCAATAAAGATTAAAACTTAGTCAATAAAAATGGAAAAAAAAACTTACATTTACAACAACAGCAACCTCTTTCAATTGAACATTGTAATAAATTTCTGCTGCTTCAAGTATACTCTGTAAGGTATTCATTTCTTCTAAACGTTCTTCATTCTTTTTACAAATAAATTCCAAGTGTTTACAACAATTTTCAACCTGTTTGAATATAATAATAAGGATACAAGTGAGTGACCAAGTACAAGTTTATGTGCTAAGATATTGATAACACTTATGATGAAGGTTAATGCTTTCATCTAGCCCCTCTAATATCACTAAGTATAACAAGTGTACAATAGGATGGGGAAAACTGAGAACTAATCTCTCTGGTATTAACAATGATAAACTATCGAATATCATACAGAAAATCTTTTCAGATTATTAGTTGTTATAGCTAATGAGAAGGAAGAGATATTCACAAGAGAATCAACACCAATATGGCATTTGTCCACTGAAAGTTGCATCAAACAGGTAAAGTTTACTAATAAAATTCCTCTGCATTTCTTTATACATCAGTCAGTAGGCAATTAGTTAGTTAGTTATATTCGCTTAGGATGTAGGCAGTCCATTTGGATTTTACATACCTTTAATTTTTCATGGCTTATTTGTTTGTTGGGAAATCCATGAAAACTGAGAATAAGTTAGAATTCCACATCATAGACATTCTTTTGCGAAGAATACATGATAGTTCCCTAAGGAGATTGATTTACAGAAAACAAACCTGGAATTGACAATATAGGCATTTTCAAAGCTGCGTTCCATTGGCCAAGAAAAGAAATCTAATTCATTTATTATGTAGTAAATGAGGAGCTGAAAGTATTTTGAAAAGTTTTAATCAAGGATGGTTATCCTTCAAGATTCACTGAAAGGAACATGAGGTCTAAGAATTTTAAAGAACCAGCCTCTACGCTTCCAAAGAAGAATCATACGTCCAAAGCACTGAAGAAGATCTTCTTTTACGTCCCAGCTTCGGATTGGTTTCTGCAGTCAACAATTGATTCGACGGGTGTGTAAAGGATAAACTACCATTTTGAACCACCTACGTATGCGTCAACCAGTTTATTTGATCTTGTGTAACTGGTTACACATAGGCCACACAAAGTATGTTCTAGCCAATTACTATTTGTCCCTTGGGTTCTTAGTGGAACATACAGCTTCAGTAGCACAACTCCATTATACTCTGTTCTCTGCAATCTTCTAAACCTCACTCCACGACTGCCCAGAAGCTCTCATCTCTTCCTCACATGATCTCATCCATGTTACCCTCACCTCAGAAGTCCAACTCACCGTTGCCCATCTAAGTTCCACTCCACTGCCTGGCTGGCCTGGTGAGCAATGTCCTCAGTCGGCCTTCTCAGTGTGTGCCCAATTCCATCCATCTCCACTTCCGTGTGCATACTGATTCAGCGATAGCTTGTTGGTTGGTTCGTTGCTCGGCCAGAACCCCTTGTCGCTTATTCGTTCTGGCCATCTGATCTGAGCTTCACTATCGAGTGAGTGTACGCGGCAACTGTTGATGAATGTCTGTACCTCGTTGGAAATGCTTTATGTGACACGCCAAGTTTCAGAACCATATAGAAGCACTGACTTGACTGATACTGGTGTTGAAAATCCGCATCTTGTCCCACATACTCAGCACAGTAGATCTCCACACTGGTTTCAGGTTAATAAATGCCTGTCTTGCTGTCTTTCCGATCCTGGCTTCTTTGACATCCTCGTCTGTGCCGCCACTGCCTGTAGTTGAAACGATGCTGTCTCGCGTAGATAGGTGAAAAAGGCTACTTCCTTTAGGTTTCTCCTGTTATTGGTGGTGGTGTGTTGGTTGGGTATCTTCATCACCTCTGTCTTCTCTACATTCACTTGAAGTCCTGTCTTCGGTGCATGTTCTAACCAAACGTAGCTCTAAACACCATCCTGTCTAGAAGAGATTGCAAAGCTATCAACAGCTTGATTCTTGAGTATTTGGTCAATTCCAGTCACTTTCCTCCAAACGAGTCTCCTTTCAGTCATTCATAAAGTGAAGGGAAAAATTTCGAAAGGGGGTGCATATTCCCTACCTCAGCACAACAGAAGCATTTGCCAATCCATTGATACAAGCCTGATCTTTGCATTTAAAAGAGATACATTAAATCTCTAATTTAGCCTTGGTCGTAACCTGCCTGATACAGTTTATTCATTTATTTCTTTATTTGCTTATTCATTATAATTTTTGATGACCTACTCGGTTATCATCCTATGACTTTATTGACCATTTTTCATGACTATTTTGACCCATTAGCTATTGATGAATATATATAGTGTTGTAACTATGGTTATAATTGTATAGCTTTTGGAAATGATTCATCGAAAAATAAATCTTCTTCTTCACTTAATTGTTTTTTGTAAAGTGGCCAAGGTTATGAGAATGGTAAAAGTCTTCCAGAACTGGTCTAAATTCACAGTAAGTTTAAAGATAAGATATAAAGTACTTAGATACGTCCAGTACACCAGTACATTTTTTTAAGAATTGCCTCAATTAACCAGTTGTAAGCTAGTTGCTGCCTCCAGTATTGTGATTGAATACCAAACTGAGCTAGATTCAAGGCAAGTTGGTTGAAAATTCACTGTAACGCTAACCTTTTGAGATACAACTCCTAAAATGCCAATAAGGCACCCAACCCAAATTATACACCCTCAGATCTTTTTAAAGATGATCAGAAAATTGACCAAGTTTCTTGGGAAGGTATAGTAAATTGAGTATTCCCTTTACTCTAGAATGAATGCATTGTTATATCCAGCTTTCAAATGAATCTACGTAATGTGTGTGTGTGTGTGTGTGTGTGTGTGTGTGTGTGTGTGTGTGTGTGTGTGTGATAACCATCAGGGTATCAGTCCGCTAACAGCAAACGCATGAGCAACTAATCCATAAGATACAAGTCAGATTTCTTTCAGATTATGGATGTGTTGATCAGGCGTTCACCCTTCATAGAATATTCGAATACCATAACACATATTTAACGCTAACGATAACTGTGTTTCTTGATATTGGGGTTGCCTTTGAGTCCCAGGACAGGAATATGCTCAGCAATTATGTATAAAGTTTGTTAACACCTTGAAAGCACCATATTATAACACGTTAAGTGAGTAATGGCATACAACCACGTCTCTCTATGATTTCAATTCAGCAGTGGTGATAGGCTGAACTCACATTTCTTTTCTAAGTATGCTATTAATGACATTTTTGAGACTGTCTCCAGAAATTTGTTTCAATTTTTCTTTCACTTTTTTGCTCTAGGTGTTACCGAAAAGTAAAACTAAATTATTTAAGGTATCTTTGAAATTACGTTTAAAACTGTTTGTTTAATAGCCTATTTCGATTTCTGGTCTCCTCTTATGCTATTGAAATGTTGTCATTTTATTCTATGTGGTGCATTTATTAATGTCATCCATCAAACATCTAAATCAACATAAGACCAGACATTAATGCGTAACGATTCGAGTTGCTAGTCTTGAATCAAGAGTATTTTCAATAAATAATACTAATTAGTAGTAACTTGACCTATGCATAAAGCAGTAATGAAATTTCAAAGGTATTTGCCTAGCGATTTGCATGCTTTTGCGTTAGTCTGATATTATCTCACTGTTTGAAACATGATTAGCTTGAGTGACCTTTAATCTTATCATCTCACAAATTGTTATCATTTGTCCTTTGTATTCCAAGTAGAACATACAGCTTCAGTTGCAGGTCGCCACTTCACTCTCTTCTCTGCAGTCTTTTGAACCTGGCTTCACCACTGCCCATAACCTTTCATTTCTTCGTCGCACGATCTCCTCCATGTCGCCCTCACCTCAGACGCCCAACTCGTTGTTTCTCCTTTAGGTTCGACTCAACGGCCTGGACTGACCTAGGGCGTTATGTCCCCAAATGGTCTTCTCAGTGTATGCCCAGTCCAATCCATCTCCACTTTCTTCTTCCGCATATTTTTTTTTGGACGATGGGTTTTGGTTGGTTCGTTGCCAGCCAGAGCGAGTTCCTTGTTGATTATTCTTTCTGGCCATCTGATCTTCAGTACCGATTTCTCCCACTGATGGTGATTGGTGCTTGTTGTTTTTGGCGGTGGTGGTTGGGTATCTTCATCACCTCTGTCTTCTCTACATTCACCTAAAGGAAGTCCCATCTTCCTCCGCTGCTTTGCCTCGCCTCTTCGGCCAACTTGTTGGTTTTTGCCTGTAGACCTTCGACTTTGTATGACAAGACATTTGACGTAAATCATTATCGGCGGAGAAATCCAAATTTTCTAGGGTCTTTTCATCGGTCCAGCTAGCGTATTCCCCCCTTCCCCCTCCTCACAGTTTCTTGCATGATCCAGTCTAGTCCAGTCGACCACAATCAGGAAGATAATTGGTGATAGTAGGCGACAACCTTGTCTTACTTCTTCCTATCTTCACTTCAAAGGCGTCACTGAGCCTCCCATTGTGAATCACTCGGCATGTGGCGTCGCCATATAGCTTTCAAATGAGGTTGATAAAAGTTTGTGGCAGTAAAACCGTAGTATTGAGTCTACTGCCTGCCAGATTACTTCTCGGTCGACGCTGTCGAAGGCCTTTTCAAGTCGATGAAGTTGACTTGACTGCCATTCTATGCTCTGTTCTATGACAATGCGTAGTGTGGCTTTACAATTTGATCCGCACATGATTTGTTCTTCATGAAGCCAGCCAGCCTGTTCCAGTCATAATTTTGAATTCAGCGCATTTTTCAGTCTCTCCAGGATGATGCAGCTTAATATTTTGTTTTGGTGAACAGGAGCATGTTACAAGTGAGACTGACATATATTCAGATCCCTATATGTAGTTCTACTACTGGAATCATTAGTTTAAGTTCTACCAATAAAAGTATGCAACCTGGTCATCACTATTATTAGCTATCGTTTACAGTAGAACAACGTTACTCATCAATACGCCCATGTTGATTTGTGTAATAAATAACCATACTACTAAAATAATGAGAGTAGTGTGATTAGTATGCGTTCACAATTAGCGAAGCGTAGGTGCTGAAGGATCCAGTAGAAATTCACCTACAATAGCACTGAATCATGGTGGAGATTCATTTCATTAGCCTAAAACCTTAGCTATCATCAAAAGGGTCCAATGTTCAAATCTAATTCAATCTTTTTTTTAGA